ACTTTTCATCTGTCTCCGTGGTGTTCTGCATACTGGGCTTTTCTGAAACCCATCATGACAGTTTTGAATTAATGAATTAAGTTTTTGAATTTGCCAAACACCAGTTATTTAAGACTTTGCATCAATCAGCAGGTGATCTTTGGTAGTTTAAGCTAAAAACTCTCCTTCATCACCTTCATTTGAGTTTTTTGATGCAGAGATTTATTTTTCATCAGAACTTTTAAATGTTAGAAGAGTGTAACGATTCCTGTTTCCTTCTGTTATGTAGAACAGCAGACATTATAAAAAGTGTTAAACATTACAGCTGCTCATAAACAGAAAATAGTTCAGATGAAGGAGTAAAAATTTTCTTGTTTTTCATTCACAGCTGATCTGATCTATGGAAAAGTTGGTGGCTCCATTGTTCTGGATCCAGGTCAGATTTCAGAGCCCATCAACACCAATAAATCAAACCCTACCTGGAAGAAGTCTAGACAGGACATTTGTTGTAAACATTTCAGGTGTAAGTTGACTTATTGACAGTTAAATGCTTTGAAACCATAGACCTGCAGATAAACATCATGCATGATGTCTTAATCTGGATCGTAGTTCTAGATCGCTATGACTTTGATAAAAAAGCGGGTAAAATGACCATCACAAAACTGCAGTTAGAGGACAGCGGCAGCTACACTCTTGAGATAAACAACAAAGTTCTGGAGAAGAAGAAACTCCAGGTTATCAGTGAGTTCAGCAGGTTTGACTGAGGTTTGTTAGGTTTTAACCTAAATCAAGTTGAGATAATCTGTTCCTGTTTCTGTCAGAACCGGTCCCAATACCCACAGTGTCCATAAAGTACAACCATGAGAAGGATGCCTGGAGTCTGACCTGTGAAGCCCAAGACCCTGCTGACTTTGGACCTGTGACGTATAAATGGAAAACAGGTGACACAGAGTTGTCCACCGACAAGGAGCTGCTGATAACAACGGTATGAGGATGAGAAACCCTGGAAGAACTCAGTAGAACCTTCATGGTTTGGTTTAGAGCTGTTTT